CCCCCCCCCAAGTAACCAGCTTTTGGTTTCATTTATCTTTTGGACTTTAGTTTCATTTGCATGTGTTAATTTTTATTTTCTTTTACTTGCTTTTGGGTTTTTTTTGTTGTTTCCTCTAGTTCCTTGATGTGAGAGATCAGGTTGTTTCTCTCGGTTCTTGCTTTTTGATGTGGGCTTGTGTGGCTATACACAATGCTGGTTTTGTTGTGTCGCACATGTCTAAAAGGTTGTGTCCTCGCATTAATTTGTTGCAAGGAATTCTTTAAATAATCTTTGAAATGAAAAAGACCTCATTCCCCAGTGTTCTTTCAGCAGTGAGCTGTTAAGTCTGCACATAGTGGGCTGCTCCTTGCTATCTATTCACAGTTGACTTCCTTTATGATCAGAGAAGATGGTATGACTGCAGGCTTCATGTACTTGTTGATGCTTGCCTTGTGGCCCAGTGTGTGGTCGATGTTGTAGCGTGAGCCTGTCGTTGCCTGTACCCGTGTCTGGATCATTGTTTAGGCTGCTATGTCTTTATTTTCTATCTTGCTAATGTGTCCATAGGTGAGAGTGGGGTGATGGCATCTCCTAGCTCATCGGTGTTTTTCCCAGTGCCTGCTTTCAGACTCCACAGTGATTGAAGCCTCAGTGCTCCTTGATCTGGTGAGTAGCTACAAGGAGTGTTCGTCTTTCTGCTATATTGCCACCATGATGGTTCCTGTTTCTTGTCACTGTTTTTAGCTGGGGGTCTCTCTTACCTCATAGAGGTATGACTGTCATGGGGCCATCTGCTTCTGCATTTGTACTTCAGCCTTTTACTTTCACCTGGATTTATCTTTGGAGCTTAGCTGTGTTTCCTGGTGGCAGCAGAAGGGTGGATTCTGTTTGCAAATCCATCTTGCTGCTCTGTGGACTTTGGAGTAATTATTGATACATGAAGTCTGATAGTGCCATTTTGTTCATAGTTCTGTTTAATTCTTTGTGTCCATTCCTGTCTTTGCTTTAACTCTTACAGCTCCTTGTAATATTTCTTGGGTAGGTGGAGTAGTTGCAAATTTCTGAAGATGTTATTTACCTGAGAAGTCCTCACCACCCCACCCCACCCCATTTACCGTTGGAGGTATTCTTGGCTGCCTATTTTACCCTGGAGTTGTTTTGAATATCACTCCATTTTCTTCTTGCCTGCAGTGTTTCTTCAGAGTAGTCTGATAATAGTCTAACTGTGGTCCTTTGTAGATGATCTCTTTCTCCCTCCATCATCTTGGTTACTTTTTGTCCTGGGCTGTGGGGAGCTACTGCTCTGTGTCTTGATTAGAGCCCCTTTTAGTGAAACAGTCTGCTGTCATTTAGCTTTCTGTATGTTCTTCAGGTTTGGAAAATTTCCTCAAGTACTAATCTATTTTTTTTTTAGCTGCCTTCTCACTCACCCCCTGTAGATTCATTCACTCTTCTGTCTTTTCTTCATGGAGGCAGATACCTTGGTTCTATCCGTAGCTGCACCTTTGAGATTACTGATGAGTTCTTCCATATTGTCAGTCCAATATGGCTTTCTCCAAAAATGGTTTGCCTCCTCCGCTGATCTTTCACAACCTGCAGTTTCTTTACGCTCATATTGAAAATCCAAATCTCGAGCGTCTGGTCATGGATTGATTCTCATAGCATTCTTTTCCTTTCCCAAGATTTATTTGCATTGTTCCAATTCTTTGATTTTCCTTAATTATGGCGATTTGGAATTCTTGATCTGAGAGGAAGAAAAGCGCTTCCAAGCCTGCTGTGGGCTCGTGAGGGTGGCTTTTCTTTTTGTGCTGTTCCCTGACAACTTGCTTTATTACTTGCGTTTCTTTCCACTTTTGCCTTTGGGTTTGTCTGCTTTAGGTTGGGCTTCTGTGGGACTTGGGTCTCCTCTCCCACTACTCCAGGTCTTTACCATGTGGTGTTTACAGGAGCTGGGGCCTTCCTGGAGCAGGTCTTGGCCAGCAGAGTGGTGGGGGGTGATACGTGAGCCCCCAGGGAGGATCCCCAGACTGGTGCTGGCTGGGGCCGGTGGCCAGTACTTCCTTTCTGGGGTTTTAATTTACATTTCCGTGATGATAAGTGATGAACATTTTTTTCATATGCCTGTTGGCCATCTGTTTCTTTAGAGGTTTCTTCAGCACTTTTGCCCATTTTCCTATGTGTTAAACTATTATAAGCTGCATGAGTCATTTTATATTTTTCATACCATCCCTTCATCAGTATGCGTTATGCCTAGATATTCCCCCAGTCAATGGGGTGGCTTTTGTTTTACTGATCGTTTTTCTTCACCATGCGGAAGCCTTTTAGTTCAAATTAATTACATTTGTTTATATTTGTTTTTGCTTCTCTTCCATTGGGGACTAATCCACAAAGTTGTAACTGAAACCAACATTATGGAGTTTTTGACCTATTTTTTTCCTTCACTGTATTTCCATATTTTTAACCCATCTTGAGTTAACTTGTGTGTGCTGTGCGGTGTGAGATGGTGATCCAGTTTCATTCTTTTGCATGTGTCTGGCCAGTTTAACTAGCACCATTTGTCGAAGAGACGCCTTTTGCCGCTATCTCTACTCGGCTGTATTGTAGGTTAGCCATCGCATGCATGTAGCCTTACAGCGGTGCTCACCATTCCCTGCAAGGTCTGTGGCTCTGTTTATGCTCCAGCACTGCACCGTGTGATTATTTCGTTTTGTTGTATAGTTTTACACTCACTCTAGGTTGCTGTCATTCTTCCTTCTTTTTTGCTTTGTCAGTTTGGGGGTTTTGTGGTTGCATGTGAATGTCAGTATTGTTTGCTCCATGTCTCTGAAAAATGCCTTTGGGTCCTTCATCGGATTGCCTTGAATCCATATTTTGCTATGGGTAAGATAACCACCTTCACAGTGCTTGTTCTTGCACTTCCATGAGCAGGACTGGCTTCCATTCCTTTGTGTCACCTTCTGTTTCTTTAAAAAAATACTGTACAGTGTTAATAGTGTAGATTCCTCACAGTCTTTCTAAAATTTACGCCTTAGGTTTATTAATGGGGTTGTTTTCTACATTTATTCTTCTAGATCGTTGCTTCTGTATAGGAGTGAAAATGATTTTTGCATATTGCATTTTGTACCTTTCCATGTCACTGAATTTATTCATTTCATTTGGTTTTTAATGGAGTCTTAGGGTTTTCTATGCATGTCAATTGAAAATAATGAAAGTTTACTTCTTTCCCAGTTTGCACACCTTTCTGTCTTTTACCTGACTTTTTTAACTGGGATTACCAAGACTATGTTGAATAGTAGCAGTAAGAGTAGGCATCCGTATCTTGTACCAGATCTAAGAGAAAAACTTTCAGTTTTCCCTGCTGAGTATGACGTTCACAGAGGGTTTACTGAGTATGGCTTTTGATATGTTGAGGAATGTTCCATCTGTCCAGCTTTCAAGGTTTTTAAAATCAAATGGATGTTAATCTTAGCAAATGCTTTTTCTGTATCTATTAAAAGTCATATTTTTATCTTTTTTGCTCATGTGATAAAGTACATTGATTTTTGGATGTTAAGCCATCTTTGTGTCTCTGGGATAAATCCTATTTTGTCATGTGGTATAATCCTTTTGATGCAGTTTTGGATTCAGTTTTCACATTGTGGCTCTCTCCATGTATGTTCATCAGAGAAATTAGTTAGTAATTCTCTTTGTGTGATGTCTCTATCAGGTTTTGGCGTTAGTGTGATATTGGCCTCATGCAATGTACTTGGAACCCCTTCATCGTTTAGGAAGGGTTTGAGTAGGACAGGCATCAGTTGACCTTTGAAGCATTGTAGTTCTCATGAGTGAAATCATCTGGGCCTAGACTTTTGTTCTTTGATTACTGTTTCAGTTGCCTTTAAGATGATTGGCCTGTTCAGATTTCTATTATTTCTTCTGAATTCAATCTCAGAGATTTAATGATTACTAAGAATTTCTCCATTACCGCTAAGTTATTCATTAGTTTACATTTTTAATTTTTGAGTTTACATCTTTCTTCCTATCTATATGTGCATGTTTCATTCACTCTTTTTGAAGTATAGCTCTGGTGTTGGTAAATTCTTTTAGCTCCTGTTTGGGAAAACCTGTATTTCACCTTTATACCGGAATGATAATTTTGCAGGATAGAGTATTACTGGCTAAAATGTTTTTGCCTTTAGGATTGTGAACACTTTTTTCCACGTTCTTCTTGCCTGGATACTGCCTGGGCTGAAGTGTGGGAAGATCTTATTTTGGCAGGCTTTGAAAGTGTTTCCTTGCTTCCCACAAAAGTTTTCGTTATGTTTGATTTTTGATAGTTTGATAATCATGTGTGTCTACATGGAAATCTTCTTGCATTTGAAAATTTGTGTCTCCTCACTGCCTTTTTGACAGCAGCATTTAAGTCATTTTTTTTTTTTTAAAGATTTATTTATTTGTGTATACAGAACTGGGGTACAGGCCAGAGGCTTAGGGGCGGTGAGAGGCTTC